AGCTGTTTCGAAAGAGATCAAAAGTGAGGCTTGAGTGTAGTTGGGCATGTGTATCTTGACCGTTTCTTTGAGAATCACGCGTTGGTAACAGACATGCATTCCCTTGTGTTGATAATCGGGTTTTCGTGGCTGTGTCCTTATTCACCCTTAGAGATGAAATAAAGCTCATATCACCACGCCTCCAGTCTACTATAGTGCGTCCAAGCATTTCATTGTAGTACAGCGCTTAGGGGGAACAGCGTTGCCACATTCAGGCGGCGCTTACATGCTACACTCGCCGTGCTGAATACTCAGATTGGCATGAAATTTTACCAGCTTGTTCAGCATTTTTCAGAATCCATCAATATACATTTACATCTTCTAAAGCATCATAAGTAGTGTTTTGTGACAATTAGTATTCAAACTTTTCATGACCTGCTGGCTTTTGAAACGCGGAAATCGCCGCCCCGCGCTGGTCCTGTTGCCGCACTTGTATGGTGCGCCGCCTCTGCCTGCCTATCTGTCGTCCGGGCCTGTAGTGTGTTAAAAAAAGTGTTTACATGACGAGTTCGGAAAGTCAAGAAGGTGGAACTCGCGTATGAATAATCTAAATATATTTTTTGCAGAAAGGGTCACTGAAATTGTTACCTCGACAAATAAATACATTTCACTTTTGCGTTAGTTACAAAATTTTCACAATAAGGGGGTCTAAAAATGTGTCAAAATGTAGTGTAATAGAATGTCATTAAGTGCATCGGATGCAAGTTTATTTTTCAGTTTTTTTAAAAATAGCATTGGTTTACGATATTCTTACAACGGACGACGGTAAAACTATTAGTAACATGTGTTACTATGCCCTTGAAAAAGAAAAAAAAAAATCAACGATACGGACTTTAGTCGTGAATGAACGAACGCGCTAGGAATCTGACACCGGTTGACGGACGTTCCTGGGCTGCCGATGCAACGGTTTGCCCGCCGCCGGACGCGGGGAGGTCAGGTAAGGCGTTCTTGCAAAACGTCTCTATTTCTAATTCTCCACAGCACTCCAAATTTTGAATTAGTGTGTTTTGCATGGTATTCTACCAGCTGGTAAATTTTGAGAATGTTTAGTGCACTCGCTTCCAATACCGGATGTCGCGCGAAAGAGTAGCTGTCTAACCATGGACGACTCAAATAGACATCTCAGGGTGGCTCCAGTCGCCTGTTAGTGTGAAAGCCACGGAGGACAGGTATTTTCCCCCACTTTAGTTTTAATAAGGAAGATGAGATTTTGGGATAGGATCTCAACCTTTCTTTACATCTTACGTACCACTTACAAGCCTGGAAACTAGCATACTACTTACCCGAAAATCACTTCAAAACATTTTAAATAGATGACTTCATACTATTGTAAATTAAGATCGTTTTATAAAAAAAATCTATTGAATGATAAATTTAAAAAAATACACCATTGAATGTGAGTTTAAACTGAAATATCAATAGGAAAACAAGTCTAACTCCAGGTGAGATTGTTTATCCATCAAACACTGAGAGTGGAATTGTTTTGCACAAATTCCATCAGTAGTTACTTATTTTCAGTTCCAAATCATTTTACAAGACCAGTTTATTCACCCATTTATTTTTTTATGTTTGGATGCTATCAGATAAGGGGTGCAAGGCTTTGTGCGGATAATGTTCTTTTCGAACATCATGTTACAAATTCGCCAGATCTTTGCATTTGAATGCTCATTTTAAGGCAGAATAACTCGTTGAATAACTTTGGCATTAATATAGTTAATCGTAAAATTTCAATTTTTTGAGATACATTTGAATTTTGCTCGTTGTAGTAAATTAAATTAAAAATTAATCAATTTTTCCTTCCCACATCACCAGTTGTGAAACGCTGAGACGTATCCAAGATCACCGACAAGAGATGTTCGTTCTGAGCACACCAAATATATTTATCACAGTATTATCTCAATATCCAAGATTTACACAGAAATGTGGTTGGCTTTGTTTCAAAATTTGGATTTCCGTGTCAATTCATGCGCTGAGTGTTCGTGCTTCAATAATTTTAAAAAAATCCTTGCATGCTGAAAATTTAAGGGCGTAAAAACAGTGGGCGATCATTTACAATTAATTTCGTAGTAATTAACCATAAAACTCTTACAAAATAACCGTACCCATTCATAAAACTTCTGGGAATTACTGGTAACAACTCAGTTGTCTATGAAGAAAAATGAAGCTACATTTAGTAGAGATGTTAAATATTTGTGTTTGAAACAGAATGTACTAGTACAAATAACCCAGATCTTTTTCGTGTGTTGGCAACACAGCGGTAAAAAGTTTTTCGTAAAATTGTATTGGACAGAAAGCGGGCAATACCCCCTAAGATTCCGAAATGTTATATGCACAAAATGCTGGCTGCTATGTATTTCGTAATGAAACCTGCCTGAATTTCGTACAGGAAGGGCCAGGTTTGTGAGTAGAAAGAGTGGTTAAAACCCTTGTTTCCGGTTTAAATCCAGATTTATTACAATTGAGAAGTCCCAATGGTAAAATTTGGAGTGGTACAACTTACACAATAAATGGGTAATATATACACTAAAGTGTATTATATTAAAGAGTAAATTTAGTAGAAGTAGTTAGAGTAAATTGAATTTCAAAACTGTGGGAAAATTGTATTGATATTGTTGCGCAAATCGAAAAAAACATTTTCAACAGTCTTGCATATTCTAATACTGTGATGGTCATGGATGTTTGTACCCTGCCATTCATTCGTTTTGGGGGGGTGCATTTCCTGTATGTTTATTATTAGCCAACTGTACATCCCACTAAGGGCAAAGGCCTCCCGCTCGGGCAGGGAATTATCAACCTTTCTTCAAACAAGTGATATGAACGGTGAAGTGACGATCACAAATACATCCATGCCCGAGGCAGGATTCGAACCTGCGATCCTTCGATACGAGATGCTTTAGCTATCGCGGCTATCCGGGGCAACGCCTGTATGTAGTACAGTTCGAAAAAAAATACGGTACGTGACGGAGTGGTCAGAGAATCTGCTCTGGGTATGAAAAGTGCACGAGGTTTCGCCTTGGAACTGGACAAGCGGACCCACATTATACTCGTAACGAAAATTTCGTATTGATAAATGATATTTACGATTGGTATTGCAGAAGTGCTTTTCGTTATTAAAGTGGCGTTAAATATGTAAAGTGAGTTATGTAAGTATAGTTAATGTCGGTACCATCCTGTGTAGCAAAGGGAAATGATTTTACAGTGTCCTTGGGAGAAATCTCTTATCCCGTATTCGTAAACGGTGGGTTCTAATGAAGGTATGTTCATCAGTGGATTCTGAGCTGTCAAATCGTGTGCATCCAGTCCGCTTAATACGCTGACTGTACTGGAGTACGTCCATAACAAAACTCCGAATGAATCCCACACTTCCATAAGCTCGTTCGGCGCCACCAACGCAGTTCCACCGTGAAAATGCCTCATGTTTCGCGGCCTCGGTGCGGTCTTCCCGGCCGACGTGGCCATGTCCTACCTCACTGTACCCTACCCGGAGTGTGCGCCCCGTGGCCGCCCTTTCCCGTCCGTCTCCTGCCGCTCGTGGCCGCGCCCATCTCCCCCCCCCCTATCTGCCCCGCACCCTCGCGGCAGCTGTGCGCCGCGCGCAGTTCCCTTCGTTTCAGCGCGCCTCTCCCTCTCCCTCTCCCTCTCGCTCGCGGAGGGGGACGAAAGGGGCGCGCGTGGGGGAGGACAATCGCATCCCTGGCGTGCAATAGCGACCGGCGCTTACGGGCTGTGGCCAGTACTTTCGTTTCGAGGATCATAACTGGGGGATAAATTTTCCAGTTTAGTATAGAAGTTCATTTTATGTTATGCCAAAAAAAGGAAATAACCCATTTTTGTAGTTTTCGTTTTCATTGATTTCATTTCTCATTTTTTATCATTTGACGTTATTTTTTACGTGCATTTTTCGCTGATTTAATCGATTTTTATGATTCTTGCTTCAAATACTATTTACGAGTTGCTACAAACGTTCACAGAATTCCTGAGTAGCCTGTTCGATTTCTTCGCTCATTGTAATGTCACCCATTGTGAGGACTGCGTAATCTTAGGTTCCTGTGACACCCATCAGCGCTATTGTCACTTCGGCCGATTTTGCGATAAATAAAGGCAGAGGTTTTTCTTTAAAAAACAATCCAAACCAAAAGTTGCCGATTGATATATTACTGAATTGTATTTATTAGCGTTGGAGTCGCGGTGGCACAATAGTAGGACGCTGGATTCCTGACCTGAAGAACCAGGTTCGAATCCCAACGTAGGTTGTAATGTTTTTCTGGCGATTTCCAGTCAGCGGCTCTAAGGTCGACTCAGCGTTCTTTTCAAGTGAATACCAGGGCCTTTCTGGGGGGGGGGGTAAAGGCGGCGGAAGCGTTGTATTCGCCACTAGGGATGCGTTGTCGGTGTTTTCAAAACATGTTTTTTCTTTTCCGATATTACAACACACGTGTGTTGGAACCAAAGGAACGCTGTTTGCACTACCATCATCGGCCAAACTCTCTCGTCCGGCATGACCTCCATTCTTGTATTTTCTCTTCCTTCACACTCCTTCGTTCATAGATATTCGTTTCGCACATTTCGATAAGGTCAACCAGTACGCTGTGGGCGTACGGTTTGCCCCTTCTCGTATCCGTATTCGGCGAATTGACAAAAACAAACACGGTCAAAAATTAAATTTTAATGCACACGAATTTAAGTTAGAGGTTATAGTCTAAAAACATCGATTGATTTTAGTCGATATATTTTTAACGCCGATGTTTTAGTTTTGTCGTATCACTACTCGCCACACAGCGTCACTAGTTTCACCTCTTCTGTCGGCCACAACTCTGCCTATGTGCAACTCCACAGAGATATCTCTATTTACGGCCGTTAAATTGCTTTATTTCTAATTACATTATGTAGGAAATGTTTTCAACATCATTGGTCTTGCATTGACCAAGTTCTTATGAATTCTATAGGACACGTTTAAATACGGTAATCGTTGTGAATTGTGTTCCTTTCTCCTTGGAGGGGCTCGGCGGGGGCGGAGGCTGGATGCGCGCGCAGCGCTGCGCAGCACAGCGCAAACCGCAGCCCCCTCCCTGCCCCTCGCGGGTTCCCTTTCCTGTCCGAAAACTCATTCCCGCGCGCCCTGGCTGCTTGCGGGGCCGCTTTGTGAGGCGGCGTCTCCGACTGGGGAGCGGGTTTGAGCCGGGAGGGAGAGAACGCAAGAGGCTGCTAGGCAATATAGATTGTGCAAGTTTAGGCAGCTGGTCGGAGGAATTCGTTAGATAGTTCTTCGCTGGTTCTCTTGCGCGCCTTTGCATTCTATCACAGCGATCGTTAGTCCGCATCTTATGACATGATTTCTCATGCTCACATATGTTACAAATGTACGTTTTGTTCTTTCAAATTTGTCGGTTGATTCGTTCACGTTTAAGTGAACATGACGTGGGTATTTTTAGTATGCAAGTAAGTTCTTGGTTACATGGAGGCATTTGTTTCAGCATTCTTGAACTGGAGACTACTTAAATAACGAACAATATAACATTTTAGTAAATAAAATAAGTATTTGTGGCCTATCATATTCGGGAGGTTAGATAACTTTTGACTGTCAGAAATTCATATCAAGCTCGATTTGGTTCCTTCTTTTCCCTTAAATTACTGGGCCACATTTATTTTAATTCAGAAACATCAATGTCCTACCTAGTGTGTATCTGTACATTTAAAAGCCTAATATGGGATAGGTTAGGCGTACTTCTGCTCTACTCAATAACATTGCAGATCTTTGCAAAAACAATTCAATGCAAGCGTTCAATAAAATTGTTTAAAGCCTCTGCCACAGTTTTCTTAGTCTTTATCTTAAGTTAGAACTTGCACACGCATGATAGTTGATTGCTGATCAGCGGGCATGCATTTAAAAGTTGGTTGCTAGTGTGGTTCTCGAGTTCTCACTCGAGTCGGTAACTCCGTGACTCGCTCGCAAATGAGGGTCTGCGGAAAATTTGAATGCGGTTGACAGTTAATCGCGTGATATATTTCGACTTCAATAGACACTTCTGGCGTTTGATCAGTTGGTTATCTAATCAGGAGCTTCGTTACGATTAAATTTTTGGTTGATACTCCCGATTGGACAACCGCGACCCATCTGATCGTACGTCAGAAGTTACTCTATTTAAATCTGAGAATAACATCAGTGCTGTAACCTACGCAACAGCGAATCCGAAGCTTCGGTGCAGTATAGTTCGTTTAAATTTCAGACCAAGGGAATATGGTTCTAATTTTGTTGAAATCATTTTCATTACAAATTTCAAGAGCGAGGTTAATCATGGTCAAATGTATTGCAAATTATTAGTAGCGCGTGATGGTAGTTTTGTTTGTCAATCCAATGTCGTGGCAGCAATATCGTAGTGCTATTTGTTTGTTTAAGGTTACATGTCGAGTAGGATCTGTAATAATGCGATATGTGTAGGCTTTCTTGCAGCTTGGGTGTCTGGCCTACTTCATATTCATATTAAGTTGAATTATGAATGCAGGTAGCTACGAACATTTTTGCAAGAACTGATATGCAAAATATTAGTTCCCTTGTAATAAAACGTATTTGCGATGGCAAATCGGCTACTGATTTAGGCTGTTACCCTTACGTGAAGGAATGTACTTACTGCCGCGATAAAATGGAAGAAGATGGTTCGAATATTTACATTCCCGAAAGAGTTCAAGAAACCGCTTTTCATAATTCCTGACACACTTCAGTTGATCGTGGGTCGTGTGAGGTTACAACAACAATGTTGAATATGACAGATTGGTTATGTTTTTATCGAATGTGTAGATCAGTTTTTCAGCTGTATCCTTCAGTATGACAATATTGTTACTCGTTGAAGTGTGAATTATGGGATAGAATGATGAGGGGTGAATGGACAATCACAAATACTACCATGTGTACGCAGGACTCGAACCTGCAGCCTCCTCGGCACAGACCGGCCACGGGGCCGACTTTATTAATATTATTATTATTATTATTATTATTACTATTATTATTAATACTATTATTATTAATACTATTATTATTAATACTATTATTATTAATACTATTATTATTATTACTATTATTATTATTATTATTATTATTATTATAAGGTCGCATTAACATCTAGTCATTTGACCACTATTGCATTCAACGGTATGGTAACTGCGAAGATGACCGATATGATGGGCGGAGAAAGGACGAACACTGATACAACAATTCCCGAGGCGGGACTCGAATCCGTGATCCTTCGGTCCGAAATCGCTTTGGCACTCTGCCTTAACGCTCTCGGCCATCCGGACCGGCTTCGGCTATTTTTGTCAGTGTGTAGCGATTTTGTTGATCAAGAAAATATATGGCCTATTAATGTTTTTGAAGTAATTTTTCTCTTAATTTTAAATGGGGGTTCATACAACTATTGCTAGTATTGAAAAACACGTTCCTGTTGATACATGGATTGAGTTTTAAAATGAAAATTTCAAATTTGTGTGAGAATTCAGCAAGCAATTCTAATAGTTTAATTCACGTCATATTCTAGCGCTTTTTAAATATTAAATCGGAGTCAGAGTGTTTGTTTTGTTAAATTACCCAATTTTCTCGAGTTTAATTCTGAAAGAGAAATCATGCGCCATCTTTGAAGGCTTCTCAAGAGAAGCAATTTGGTGACTTCGTGCACTTTTACGTAATTAAGAATCTAGAGAAACACGCCCGATTCTGTATACTCTACATTACTACGACCTGCTGTAAAGCAATTTCGATGAATATGATTCTTAGAAGTTCAGGTAACATTAAGTATGTAGTAGCTAACGACTCCAGCCCAAACTCTTCAGATACGTACTATACATCTTAAAACTAGTCTTATATATTACATTTTCAAATTGTAGATCGGTGCTGAAAAGTCATAAATTCTCATAAAAATTAATTCGACTGGGACCATTTGAGATCCCCCACTTGATTTGGGGTTAAAGACATGGGGCATTTGATATATGTGAGTAAATTCAGACTTCTTATTGAAATCCAGCCGTGAGTGGACTGTGTTGGCGTCGAGGCGTGGGGGTGGGGGCGTGGCTAGGCCGCTCGACAAGGACTCCGCGGGAAAGAGCCGAGTGACCGCGCGTGCCCTCCCTCCAGGCTCGTCTTTCTGCATTCAAGTGCATCTGCGATTAATGAAAGGATCGATCTCGTCTCGGTACCGCCTCTCCGCGCCTCCCTCCTTGCCGTGTGCTCGGGCTATCGATCCTGCGCGTCCTCCCCTCCCCCTCGCCCCCCCCCCCACTCCTTGCCGGAGAGCCGTTTAGGGGCCAATCAAGGGCGCTTGATGCGTTGCCCCTGCCTCCCCGCGGCGAACAGGCGCGGGGGGCACATTTCGTCACGCACTTCGCGAGGGGAGGGGCTTTAAATGAGATTTCGTTGCAAGATGCTAGGTGCATCAGGAACAATGACCGGACTACGTCCTGTACTTGCGTGAAAGTAAAGAATATCATACAATTTTCTGTTTTGGCTATCTTGTCTTATTGATCGTTATTGATAATGTAATGTGGTAATAGGGCCGTATAATATATTTTTTGAGTGGCGGCGAACAACTTGGATGATTTCCATGCATAGTTGATCAGTGTCCAAACATTTTTTGTGAAGATGCGAGGTTGCTGTTTGAGAATTGATGTGCCAACTGAAGGGCAAGGCCGGTGTGTTTCTACTAGTGCAAAGTATATAGACAGTGTCAAGAACCTTTCTTAAATATAGATTGTCCCAGAATTACGCGAAGACTTTCCATAGAGTCGTGTCATTTGTCCGTAATTCGATGTTTCATGTATTGCTCTCCATGTTCCAATGCAGATGTACTTTCTCTACCTCACTATCTTTACCTAGAGTTAGTCCAACAGAACACTAGGGATGTCTTTAAACTTCTGTAAGCCTTCTGTACAATTACAATTCGAGTTGTCGAGATCATCCTTGGTGTCAAGAAATTAGCTTTACGGATTGTAAATTGGACAAAATATTTGCTTTCTTTGTGGAAAATGGTATTAAATCAGTTTAGTCATTTAATGTCGTATCTTGATTATTTAGGGGGCATTACGTGTTCTTTACGAAAGGTGTTTTGAGAAAAGTCGTTGCACACCAGGAAAAGCTTTATTTGGAGCAGTTTATTATTGAATATTTGGCGTTTCACGAAGGGTAGTGTTTTCGTTGTTTGCAATTTGATGGCGTTTGATTTTGATGATGACTTTCTTCAATACTTGTTTGCGAACGTTAATTTTGGGATAAACAGTTTATTGGAGGTAAATTATAGCTCACTGTCAAAACTAAAATAGAATCTTTATTTAGACTTTCATTATGTGGAGAATACAATCTTGCAACAGTTAGTGGGAGAGGTTGAGCATTGACCCGTATCGTTTTCATATTGTCATAATGTTGTTTTTTCTCGCCATACTCTACGTAGTAAAGAGAAAGTATAATGAGCACAAAAACTGCGGCGATTTTACGATAGACGCGAATTTAGAAGTGGTGCTATCGAAAAATTGGATGAACATTGTTCCTATATGTGGTAAATTTCTTCCTTCAACACATGTAGTTTATGCACCATGATTAGTGCCAGAAAATTAAAGACATTGCATCAATATTTGTAGTTTTGGCGTGTTAACTTCAATTTGTTCATGAATAGGGTAATATTTTGTTTTCGCGCATGGATTTATTGTTGTATAGACGTAATTTCGTTGCACTATGAAAAACGGGTGGCTTGATGATGGCATTATATAGAATATTTTGTTCATTGTTCCGATTGAATGATTCATTTCATATCGTCTGTGATATGGGAAAACTGCTTGATTGTTGAAATTGGGATGATTGAACATTGCTAAATTCGATTTGAGGTACTCGAGCAGCAATTTTGGTATTCCGGAAGTCATTTCTACGAGATTCTGTATTCTTGTTACCTTTGTGAAGTTTCGTAGACAGAACGGTGATGCAGAATGTTTAACCTTACTGGTAGCCATGACGCAGTGGCATATTTGGAAGTTGCTACATGTGTTGGCATTAGTCATTACTCTTACTGTATTGTAGAAATGTTTCAACTATATGACAAACTTGGCAATATATTTGTAAATAAGAAAAGGAATGTCTTTTTCTTACCTGTGCCAGAAAGCTGCGGAAGGGATCCATCCATCGGGATTGTGTTGGACTACTATCGAGTGCTACGAGGAGTCGGAGGTATGGAACCATTTTAGAATACATAATTAATGACCGATACCAAGCGGACGGTAACGTTTTTCGGGTACGGAGTGCATTGTGTGTTCCCAGGTGTCATTCTGGTTGCATTAGAAGTTTCATCAG